TATTTGTTGTTTTCGATGGATTTGATGAATATAAGCACAAGAGAAAAATACACGGAAATTGTGAATGCCGGTTTCCTAATGACGCAAAAGCCCAGATGCCCGTACATGCCTTGGTCAGCAAACTCATTCAAAAGAAGATCTTAGCTGAATCTACTATCATGGTTACCTCAAGACCAGGGAAAGCCAACGATTTGTACCAAAACATCCCCTTCGACCAGTATGTAGAGATAACCGGCTTCTCAGAGTCGCAGATCATTGAATATGTTGAAAAGTATTTCAACTCGAGACCTGAAGAAGCGATGACAGAAGAAAAAAAGAAGAAGGCAATCGATAAATTCAAAGGAACGGAGCACTACATGGCATTTGGTCGCGTCCCTCTCAGATGCTTCTTGATGTGCCCTGTCATCGAGTGGGAAATCAAAACTAGCAGTCAACATTCAGGTCCTGTCACCCTTACAGAGTTTTACCATGACGTCATTCATTGTTTAGAAAGACATAATCGAGAAAGACGTGACGAGGAAGACAGTGAGAAATCGGTGGATGTTACTCTCAAAAATCTTTCAAAACTTGCTGCAGTTTTAGACGAAGAAGATAGATACAGTTTCTCTTTAGAAGACTTAGATAAGCTAGAATTGACGGAAAAGGAACTGATTTATATCCAATCCAGCAATCTTGTGTATTGCTGTCCCGTCGTCAGTAATAAATCTAAATACCGTGAAACACATATTGAATATTGTTTTGCCCATTTGACCATTCAAGAGTTCCTTGTTGCTTGGAATTTGGTGTCGGAGAAGAAGATGCCGGCAATAGAATCATCATCTGAAATGGTGTACATATTCATGAGTGGTTTGTTGGGTTTACGCAAGAATGACAGATTAATGATGATATTACTAGAGTGCGTAGGTAAAGTGCAGTCTTTATCTACTAGGATACCTATATATAGACAAAGACTCTTATCATTACGATGCCTCTACGAATATGGCCAAGATAGCGATTTGACAACAAGAGTTCTAACTACAAACCTCAGTAGCAGCAGATTCTGGACGCCGAGATTGGAAAGGAGTATTCAGTTAAGCCTTCTAACTGACACAGACTATTGTGTAGTGGCAATGTTAATAGATAAAGTGAGTGCTCTACCACACTCTGTTACACCACCAGACACTTTAGATATTTCTAATTCAACGTTAACTTGTACTAGTTTACACGCCTTGGTGTCATCTCTCGCTGTACCAACATGCAGTATCACTAAACTTAAACTGTGGCTTTGTCAATTAGACGATCAGTGTGCATACTGTTTGGGTCAACACTTGTCCAATACCAAAATAACCGAGCTTGAACTCCATTGGAATAAAATAACTGATGTCGGTGTGGAGTATCTAGTGAATCAGTGTCCCAGTACATGTATAAATTTGACCAAACTAGGGATGAATTTCAATGAA